CACACTGACACAGCCCGCACAGCTCCCCAAGCACCATGGCAGCAGCACTATGCTATCCGCATGGCACCCCAACACCCCTCACAACACGACAGACCAGCGATGCACGAGAGCAGGGGTGCACCACAGAGGGCACCGGGACGGGCACAACAGAGGGAACACCGGGACGATAGGGGCCAGCTGAGAAGCGCACAGAGAGAACAGCCTCAGAGCACACATTTAGGTCAAGGACAGCCAGAGCAAACCGGGCAACAGCCCGATCCAGGACCCGCACTTGACCGCACTGCTCGAGAGGCGCCAGGCACAGCTGACCGCACTCAAACTGCACCAGAGCAGACCGCACCACAGCCAGACACCCCTGCCCAGCCCGCCCCTCAAGCACCAGCAGCACCCGCCTATACCTTCATGGCAAACCCCGCATTCCCCAGCATGTACCAGCCATACCCCTTAGCACCCATGCATCCCAGCATGAACCATGGCGGCCACTACCTGCCTCATACACATCCCTTCTTCTTCCCCCAGCAGGCTGCCCCCCTGCCACAGACCTCGGCACCAGCTCAACCGGCGCTTTCAAACATATCGGTCATGTCAGCAACACCAGCGCCACCAACATACCCTTATGCAACCGCAGGTCCCCCCACCCAGCAGGTAGCTCAAGGACCACAAGCCCAGATAGTGTTTGGGCCACACGAGGGCAGAGGGACACCACTTAACACTAACTATGCCCTGCTGCCGTCCCCATGCCCATGCATTTTTTATGGTGAAGATCCCTCCCCTCCCCACCCACCCTAACGCAGATACCGCAGCGACGCCAAAAACAATCCCGGACGACAGCGTTACCCTAGGTATGTACGCCGGCCCCCACCAAACCCACCCCTGTCGCTAAGCCAAGCCCTACGCCTCAGACCACATAACACACCTCCCAATGAAACCCACCGACAAAGCAGCCCAAATATTAGCCCTGGCAACATAGTAGCCCATCCCACTAACCCCGGGCACAACACCTCAAACACTACACCAGCAGATGACATGCCACGCAGAGAAACGACATAAGCCCCCTTCCACGACACAGTTCAACCACATCAGATGATACCAACCAGCAGGTGAGCCCTGCCAGAACCGGTAAAAAGCCCCGTTCGAGACCCAGAAAAGACAGCCTTAGGCGTTCTCTGACCCCAACCCTGACACGTCTCCTGCGAGCCTCACAGGTAACCATCCAAGACGAGCTCCACTCCAAGTTCATACACAACAAATCCACACTTACCCTATCACCCGCTGAGCTGGAAGGCCTAAGCCTAGGTCTCTCGTTCATCCCGACACCTCCACCTCCCACCGCAACAACCATAAAGAGTGCACTCGCGCGTTTCGTAAGAAGTGTGAGATTGATCTCACACTTCTCCTCTGACAGACCAGCCCCTCGCTTCCGCATCCCCAAACCATCCTACGATCCAGACCCCGCAGCGCCTCCTGTCGAGCGTTACATAGCAGAGGTAGAAGAAAAGATACGGAAACACCTTCCGCTGATGATGCGCCCAGCTCGCAGGAACCATGAGCAATGCCTCGTTGCGATGCGTGAAGCGTTTGAGCAAGAACCCGAATGTCGTAGTGAAGCCAGCAGACAAAAATCTAGGGCTGGCCTTACTGGACACTGCATGGTATCGCACAGAGGCACTCAGACAGCTGTCGGACACTGACACCTACACAGAGTGGAGTCGGTACCAATGACTGATCTCTTCGAACGTCTAGACGCTTGGTGCTCGACATACAAAAGGAGTTTCCCTCGGGAAACCATCGAGTATATCCTGCAACCAAGGGTTGACGAACACGAGGGTACTGTGCACGAACAGTTCCGCGTATGTAGGTTTTACCTGTTACCGAAACTGCACAAAACTCCAGTCAAAGGTAGACCGATATGCTCCTCCACGCTTTGGGTCTTCGAGCACGCCAGCCAGGTACTAGATCACTATTTACGCCCGCTCTTGACGCTCGCTCCAGCCCATCTACCAGACTCAATCACCCTACTACACACGCTCCGCACCCTCCCTATACCCGAACACGCCATCTTCCTTACATATGATGTGGAAAGCCTTTATCCATCAATCCCGCTGCAGCAGGGCATCGACGCCATACGGGAAACCAAAGACAGGTTCGTACGCAAACACGGCTACCCGCTGTACTCAGAAAAGAGCCCCGCCAAGCAGCTCAGCGCGTGTTGCGAGCTGCTAGAGCTGGTCATGACTGAAAACCACCTTCAGTTTTGACGGCAGGTTCTATCGGCAAATCAAGGGTACTGCCATGGGGACACCGGTTGCAGTAATCTACGCTGTACTTTTCATGAGCTGGCTCGACACCGTCATGGAGGACCGTTTTCCCGCTCTCTCAGAACATGTACTGCTGCACAGGCGATACATTGACGATGGGGCTGGTCGTCTGGACTGGGTCGCTAGCAGATTTGCATCTCTGGATAGAGGGATACAACAGCCTCCTAGTTGGGATTCGCATCACCACCGAGATCAGCACCACTTCGTTTACCCTGCTCGACATCACTTTCACCAAAGGTACGCAATGGGAAACGACAAGGAAAGAGAACACGGAAGGCGGTTTTTTGGATACCTCTGTATACCAAAAGCCGTTGAACGTCTACCAATATTTCCCGTTTCGCTCTGCGCACCCACGACACTGCAAACGAGGCTTCATTATCGGTGAGCTGTACCGTTACCTCCTTAGGGAGTCCTCCGAGGAAGGCTTTCACCGCATGAAAGCTTCGTTCGCAGAGCGCTTGAAAGCACGCGGCTACCACTCAACTTTCATCCAGCCGATCTTCGACGAGGTGCAGTATAGCGACAGGGACACCACGCATGCGACACTCGGGAAAAAAGGTAAACAGCGAGACAACAGGGTACTGCCCTTTGTGCTAGAGTACCACCCGAGGCCTCGAGCACCCCACGCGTAAAATCACTGCTTCGCTCCGAGACGAACAAAAAATCGTAGCTACCCTATGCCCTAGACAGCCTTTCTTTCTGCTTTCCGTGCGGCACCTAAGCTCAGGAATGTGCTAGTCCGTGCTACGTTCACGAGCGAGGCTGCTCGGAGATGCATCAGAAGGTAGTGCGACATGATTGCTTTGCCCGGTTGCATGCACCGCGCTTGATCTGACACCTCTACGCCCTGCCCCATCTCCACTGTTACACTTCAATCATCGAAGGGGGCTGCGCGCCCCCCCCCGAAAACCCCCCCCCCCCCCCCCCCCCCCGCTTCTCATCACGATGTACCCGAACCCCAGCAGCTCCACACTACTATCATCATCTCATCCATCTCCCCCGCCCCATTCATACGCTCGCAGGGTAAATTTTCAAGATGTGACAACAGGCTACGCCTCCCACATTCACATGTCTCTCTGTCCCTCTGTCTCCCTCCCTACACCCACATCCATGTACGCACACACTCGCACGACCCACCTGCACCGACAGTCATGACACACCTCACGCATGCACGGAACCATTTGCATGCACTGCCATCATGCCCCCTAAGACCATGCATCGCCATCACATCATCAAAGACCCATGCAAATGCCACCCTGCAACTAACATCAAACATCAAGCCCTCACGCGACACCGCACACTTGACGCTGCTGGCATAAGAGCACACGAGGGCACGTTGATGATAGAACACTGTCACGACAGCCCCGACTCAGTGCGCGCGTTGCCTAAGCGGGTTTACATTCATATAAAAATAATAAACACATCCCACGCATATCTACTTTCACCCTGCGTCCCCTCCTGCAATTCCCCTGCCTAGCATTTTTCCCTGCGATATTCCGTCTGTGATCTGTGCTTGGTACCACTACACAGGCCACAGCTCCCCAAGAGCACGCCACAGGAAACAAGGAATCGTTTATTTCTGGTGGAACAGCAACCAACGACTACCTAATGCTGCTCTTAGTTATTTTTATGACTAAGAAAAAATTAGAATAGTTTTTTGGTGTTGTTTTAATTTCAGTGGGGCGCTACTAAAGGGGATGGGACTTTCTTTCCCAACCCTCTCTTCCCTACTTAGGCTAGGTCTCGCCACTTTTGCTGCTGTTAGCACTGATGATGGCCTCTACTGGCCGAAATGCATTTGCAACAGTTATTTCAGCAGCCCTAATGCGTTTCCTTAGCTTGAAAAGAGAAGAGAAGATTAAAATAGGTCTATTTCCGCGTATCTCACGGAGCATTTTGCGCTTAGCAGCGCGTCACCGCACTGAACCGTAATCGCGATTTCCGAGGGCGAGTCGTTTTTTGGCGAGGAATTTTTTTCTCGCCAAGTCAACTCGAATTTCTCCCCCCCCCAATTTCTCGATTCTTGACTCCCGAGGCGCGCGCGTCAAATGCGCGCCTCGGTTTCAACATTTCGGCACCCCCCCCCCCCCCCCCCCCCCCCCCCCCCCCCCCCCCATTTCAATTCGACCCCTTCTTCCCAACCCACGCGCCACTCACCTCCTCCTACTCTCATGCTACCTTAGTAGCCGCCTCAGTAGTAAAGCCGCCCCAGTTTAAACTGGGATTTGCTAGCAGCTGCAGCTAGGCTTATTTTTTCTAATCAAACCCTAAACTACGCCGCGCGAAGTACTACAGATCGCACGAAGAAGTCGGAGGCCGGCAGCTAGTATGACGGTTTACTTAGGCACTAGAGCACAAACATCAAGAAATAGCCGCCATACCCACTATCAGCTAAGCTCAGTCAGGAGGCGGCTTGGCGTCAGATTCAGAGCTGCAGCGGCACGGGGAACATCAGGAGCGGGTGCGTCGGAGGCTGGATCAGATTTCTCAGAGGCAACAGAGGCGGATTTCGCCTCGGCAGAAAATTCCCCCATCCCGGGTGCTTCCGTCCATTCCGCCAGCTCAGAACAAGGCGAACACGCTGAGCCAATGGCTGGAGAGGAGACGGGGGGAGGTGTAGGCCCATGGGCAGGCGCACATGACCACGGTGTGCCAGCCACTACGCCTGAGATTTCAGCACCAATGGGCACACCAACGGCCGACTCACCTACCAGGTCACCGACTGTCGCTGGTGCAGAGGCACATGCAGGCAATATGGCAGACACGCCTGCAGCTTCAGCTACACCTACAGCAGCGGTTCATTTCCTGGCTGTGGCAGAAACTGCTGCTGCAGCACTGACCACCCTCACACCAACACCATCAGGCTCAGGCGCGGCAGCAGCAGGGTCCTTAGCTCCACCGAGACACACCCAGTCAGAGCCCTCTGCCGACCAGAGACCGATTGACTGGTACCAGGTCATTGTCAACGGAGCATCAACCATGCTCCGTACAATTTCCCCGACTGGATCCCCCCCGTGGCACGCGATATATCGTGAAGCACTGACGGCGGCAGCAGCTGAATTCGGAGCAGCAGCAACTACTCCAGCGGCAGGGAACACGGCACGAGCACCGGTCACGGGTGAGGCAGCAACGGCACCAGGAACAGCAGCATCAGCACCCCATGCCCCTCAGGCATTAGCCGCAGCAGCAACAGTAAGAACAGCAAGCACAGCAACAGTCATGGCAGCAGCGACACCAACAGCAACTCACACAGCAGTGGCGCCAACAGCTTTGGCAACTGCAACACCGGCCGGAACAGCGGCAAACACAGCAGGGACAGCAGCAGCAGGTGGCGCAGCAGTGACACCGGCGGTGACAGATACAGCACTAGTACACCCTTCACACACCAACCCACTGCCAGGGATCGTGACCCCTGATTCACCAGCTCCTCCTCCTACGCACACGCCAGCTCCCATCGCCCCCCAACCAAGTCCGAACCCACCGGCAGCACAAACCAGCCCAATGCCAGGCATGCTGCAGGTGGGAAACACCAGCAGCCTCTTCATACAGGGTGCTGGACCCAACGGCATGAGAGGAGCGGTGACAGGGGCATGCAAGGATGTGGTGGAGCAACGTGAACAACAGCCCACCGCAACAGCGGCACCAGCTGCTTTGGAGGAAGAGGACAGGAGAGGGCAGGCCATGGCAGATACAGACACAACCGTCACAGCTACCCCAGCAGCAGGAAGCAACGACAGGGAGCAGGTGAAACTGAATGAGGGAGCAAGAACCAGCGCAGCCACGACAATGCAGGGGGCAGGACAGCATGCGGAAGAAGCTGGTGACACGAGACGAGCAAGGGCAGGGATTTCAGTGCTAGCAACAATGAGGTTGGGAGAACCTTTGGTTGTCACAAGCAGCCGCATAAGTGATCTCCCACGAGCTTGCAAGGGCACTGATGAGCTACCCCCTAACGGAACAGCACCTATCGTGCCACCCACTACCACGCTGCAGCAGGGACAGAGCCGCCCGGACAGCCTCACACCGACCTGGCCGGGACACGATGACACAGCAGCAGCCGCACCACAAGCACAACAGCCTCATCAGCAGCCGAGCGATAGCAGCAGCAGCAGCAGCAAGGGGACCAAGGATGAAGGCCCTAATAGGGATGGGACCCGTATCCTCTACTGCCCCGTGGAGTTTGACCCATGCGGAGGAGAGGACGAAGCGGAGCCACCCGAGCAGCCCATGAGCCCAACGAGCCAGGAGGATGCAACCCCAAAGGGTTTGAAGCTGACAAAGAGAGAGATTGGCAAGGCAGCGGCAGCTCTCATGCGGGGTGAGCAGTTCGGCATGAAGGGCCTAGAGGCAGCATATGGGCTGAAGGAAGAAGAAGACCTCCCTACTGTTTGGCATCGTTTCTTCGAAGATATGCAGTCCATGCTACTCAACACGACACCACCAGAGCCCCCTGCTTCCTCACCCTTCAAGAGCTTGCCTAAGCTCCTGCGCAAGGCGATCGAGAAGGAGCTGGCTTCATTCAAGAGCTGCCTTCGCACCTACAGCAAAGTATCGAACGGCCTGTGCGAGCTTCAGCAGCAGTTCAGGGATGGGGAAGTTTCCCACGCTCTCCGGATTTCAACCCCCACGCTACAGCTAACCGACCCTGCCCTACAGGAGAGTTTGAACCAGGCCCTAGACAATGAGCTGAAAACCTTCAAAACAAAGGCCCAGCTGACTCTGATGGGGTACAAAGAGAAGGAGAAGGCTCACTGGGAAGCGGCAGCAGAGGTGTGGGCGGCACGGACACACACTCGCTTCGAGAGCTTCCTGGAGAAAGACCTTCACTTTTTCGAGACCCATGCAGCACCTGGTACCCCTGCACCCGATGCTCACCTCAAGGAGCTGGCCGCTGACTACATGGCACGTGGCATGGCACGAGAGCTGATGTATCATGCCGTGTGGATCAAGGGCAACCGCAACTCAAAGGCAAGGGGGGCAGCTAAACGGGAGAAGGCACGGGGTGAACAGGCGCAGGTGGAGCAGATACAAGCAGATCCTTCTACCGACCTGCTCGGGCTGATGAAAACACTGGTTGGCCCCCTACAGCAGCGGGTAGAGGCCTTGGAGCAGCGCCAGTCTAAGAGTGGGCCTACAACAGAGCACGGGAAGGTAGCAGGAAAGAGCAGGGCACAACGCCGAAGAGAAGCGAAAAAACACAAGGCCCGAAACGGAGCCACCTCACAGCAACCCACAGCAGCAGCGACAGCCCCTGAGGCAGGGGGAACCGCGGGGAGGACAGCGGCTCTTCCAGCAGCAGCAACATCAGCAGAGAGGCCGGGGGGAGGCGAGGTTGCTACAGCAGCAGGACCAGCAGCCACTGCAACAGAAGTGCAGGGAGCAGCAGGACCAGCAGCAGCAATAGCCTCAACTAATGACACTGCGCAGCCAGCCCCAGCACCAGCAGCAGCAACACCAGGGGCTGCAGGCACAGCTCCAGCATCGACAGCAGCCGGAGTAGCAGCGCAGCCGATACCGGTGACGACCTCTCCTTCAACACGTCCGGGGTACACTGAGGGCACACAGCGGGGAGGACGCTTGCAGACGGCAGTGAGGACCTCGCAGTCGTCCGCGGCAGCCATTGCGACTGCTGCGGCGGTGAAGGTAGCTATGCGTGGGTTGAAGGTAAACCGGCCTAGGCAACGCCACACTGACACAGCCCGCACAGCTCCCCAAGCACCATGGCAGCAGCACTATGCTATCCGCATGGCACCCCAACACCCCTCACAACACGACAGACCAGCGATGCACGAGAGCAGGGGTGCACCACAGAGGGCACCGGGACGGGCACAACAGAGGGAACACCGGGACGATAGGGGCCAGCTGAGAAGCGCACAGAGAGAACAGCCTCAGAGCACACATTTAGGTCAAGGACAGCCAGAGCAAACCGGGCAACAGCCCGATCCAGGACCCGCACTTGACCGCACTGCTCGAGAGGCGCCAGGCACAGCTGACCGCACTCAAACTGCACCAGAGCAGACCGCACCACAGCCAGACACCCCTGCCCAGCCCGCCCCTCAAGCACCAGCAGCACCCGCCTATACCTTCATGGCAAACCCCGCATTCCCCAGCATGTACCAGCCATACCCCTTAGCACCCATGCATCCCAGCATGAACCATGGCGGCCACTACCTGCCTCATACACATCCCTTCTTCTTCCCCCAGCAGGCTGCCCCCCTGCCACAGACCTCGGCACCAGCTCAACCGGCGCTTTCAAACATATCGGTCATGTCAGCAACACCAGCGCCACCAACATACCCTTATGCAACCGCAGGTCCCCCCACCCAGCAGGTAGCTCAAGGACCACAAGCCCAGATAGTGTTTGGGCCACACGAGGGCAGAGGGACACCACTTAACACTAACTATGGCCCTGCTGCCGTCCCCATGCCCATGCATTTTTTATGGTGAAGATCCCTCCCCTCCCCACCCACCCTAACGCAGATACCGCAGCGACGCCAAAAACAATCCCGGACGACAGCGTTACCCCTAGGTATGTACGCCGGCCCCCACCAAACCCACCCCTGTCGCTAAGCCAAGCCCTACGCCTCAGACCACATAACACACCTCCCAATGAAACCCACCGACAAAGCAGCCCAAATATTAGCCCTGGCAACATAGTAGCCCATCCCACTAACCCCGGGCACAACACCTCAAACACTACACCAGCAGATGACATGCCACGCAGAAACGACATAAGCCCCCTTCCACGACACAGTTCAACCACATCAGATGATACCAACCAGCAGGTGAGCCCTGCCAGAACCGGTAAAAAGCCCCGTTCGAGACCCAGAAAAGACAGCCTTAGGCGTTCTCTGACCCCAACCCTGACACGTCTCCTGCGAGCCTCACAGGTAACCATCCAAGACGAGCTCCACTCCAAGTTCATACACAACAAATCCACACTTACCCTATCACCCGCTGAGCTGGAAGGCCTAAGCCTAGGTCTCTCGTTCATCCCGACACCTCCACCTCCCACCGCAACAACCATAAAGAGTGCACTCGCGCGTTTCGTAAGAAGTGTGAGATTGATCTCACACTTCTCCTCTGACAGACCAGCCCCTCGCTTCCGCATCCCCAAACCATCCTACGATCCAGACCCCGCAGCGCCTCCTGTCGAGCGTTACATAGCAGAGGTAGAAGAAAAGATACGGGAACACCTTCCGCTGATGATGCGCCCAGCTCGCAGGAACATGAGCAATGCCTCGTTGCGATGCGTGAAGCGTTTGAGCAAGAACCCGAATGTCGTAGTGAAGCCAGCAGACAAAAATCTAGGGCTGGCCTTACTGGACACTGCATGGTATCGCACAGAGGCACTCAGACAGCTGTCGGACACTGACACCTACACAGAGGTGGAGTCGGTACCAATGACTGATCTCTTCGAACGTCTAGACGCTTGGTGCTCGACATACAAAAGGAGTTTCCCTCGGGAAACCATCGAGTATATCCTGCAACCAAGGGTTGACGAACACGAGGGTACTGTGCACGAACAGTTCCGCGTATGTAGGTTTTACCTGTTACCGAAACTGCACAAAACTCCAGTCAAAGGTAGACCGATATGCTCCTCCACGCTTTGGGTCTTCGAGCACGCCAGCCAGGTACTAGATCACTATTTACGCCCGCTCTTGACGCTCGCTCCAGCCCAT